GTAACTTCCCAGAGATCGTTCACAGCAGCAGCCCCTAAGCTTTGGAATAGTCTGCCGGAGGAGATCCATCTTATTAATACACTAGAAGCCTTTAAGAAGGCACTTAAGATGGAGCTCTTCCGGCGGGCTTATCCACCTGACCTTCCCAATTTGTAAAATAAACTAATTATTTTATTAATATGACCTCCTGGATGTGTGAAGATGATGACAACCAGTTCACCAGATAGGGTATTGGTTTTAATTAGAGGGATTATGGGGTTTTATTGTTGGGGGGGGATATTGTTGTTAGGGTTTTTTTATATATATTTTATGTCTTGTATTTTTATTGTTATCCCACTTCAATCCACAGGGAGAGACGGGAAATACAAATAAAAATTATTATTATTATTATTATTAGGTTTGGTAATCATTTGCTACATTGCATGACCTTGACTCTATTTGATTGTGAGATGTTATTTTGTGGATAATTGGTTGTACTTATATCCTGTTGTTTAGAAAATGCCAGGTTACTTCCAGAGGCTCCCCAGACATTTCCCACATAGACACTGCAAGTTTCAGTAGCAAGGGATGCTCCTCTACCATTTGAGCAAAGAATCCAGAATAACTGCTAATTGTTGTCTTAAAATCAAACTATTCAATTTATGATTTCATATTTAGCTTTGTCTTAAATGCCATTTAAAATAAAAACTCAAGTGATGATTAGCAATTATTCCTACAACACTTTGAATGTAGTATATGCAGATGCTTTTTTTCTGAAAAAATATTTTTTTTGTGGGGTGGGGGAGTGAGTACGATCCCCAACATCTTGGTTCACAGATTCTCAGACCAGAATCCTCTGAGGGCTTTAAGGTACACTAGCCAACGTGCTTTTTCTGACATATCCAATACCCCTTGTGCAACTTTTTTGCTGACAGTTCAATAGCATCCTTACACAGAGCTCTAAGCACAAGAGAAGGAGGATTAAGGAGGCAGTAGGAAGGATCTTTTCCAGTGATTGGCTACAGTAGTGCACTGAGAAAGATCCCTTCTGCTGTCTCCTTCATCCTCCCTCTCTGGTGCTTGGAGCTCTGGGTATGTGTACTGGGGCAAAACAAACAAAATGAGTTTCAACACAGAGAAATGTAAGGTACTGCACTTAGGCAGAAAAAAATTGAAATGTATTGATATAGGATGGGGGACACCTGGCTTAACAAGACTACATGTGAAA